AATCTGATGCTCCAATCGAAAGGGTAGTGCAAATCAAGAGAACGTCGCGCCCACTGCCGCGCGCGACAAAGCGGCACTTTACGATTGTCTTGACCGTCTCCCCAGTATCGGAGATGTCAACGGGAAACTGCTCGGACATCCAACAAAGAAATCGCCTAGTATATCATTCTCTGCTGGACACCTACGGAACAAAGATTTGCGGAGGAGAGACAGCAAAAAAGCGAAATGGATACTCTGGTGCACGCACTCACCCCAGCCTCGAACGCGCTCTTAGAATCAAGGTTTCAGGCTAGATAGATTCTGCCATAATGACTTCTAGAACTGGCACTGCGAAACTTGTTTTTAAAATATGTAGATTCGCCAGTGAAGCCAATATTCAGTCCCGTGATTAAAGAGCGTAAGCGCATCCTCGCGAATGATCCATCTCCGAATGCGCGGACCCTCCACCGCTATGTATGCACGCGTCACACTTAGTAAGGCTGAGTTCATACTTTGCGGCAGTGTCCACCAGCGACCACCAACGTTTCGAGCGTTCGTCAGCGGAAGTTTAGATATGGATCTAGCGAGCAACGTTTACCTGCGTCTCGAGGGACTAGGAAAGTCAGGGTATCAATCTAGCTAACGCCAGCGTCCACCAGCGACCACCCGTGTTTAGGACTAGAGAGTATAGGGAAGCAGGAGTGTAGCAGACAGGTGGATTAGGCGTCGTGAAATGGAGGCGTGTGCATCTCGTAACGCTCTAACAAGGATGATGGTCGCTGGTGGACGCTGCCGCAAAGTGTGAACGTATCTTGATGCAGTCAGATTCTGAAAGCATCAAATGATGTTTCTGAAACACGGCCACCAACACGACAATGCTGCTGTTTTAAATAGGAATGCTGACTAGTTTATAATCCGAGCTGGCACTCATATGTCAGAAATACTTAGACTGGCACCGAAGCAAAATATGAACACACTTATTTTGGCTGGTATAGGGACAGCCGTATGACCTATATGTTTCCATAAAAATGCAGTGCTGTTTAGATATGTGATCTAATTCGCCGACAACAAGGTGTCTATAAAAGCATGCGGTGGTATGCCTGACACGCTGTTAGCTAAATCGGCCAATAGAGTCTCTAGCACTATTCAACTGTTGCTACCCCAATACTCTGAGATCAGGTCAGTTTTTTTACCGGTTTTTTTTCTACGAGAGAAGATTTGGCTGAAAAGTTATTTCTAGCGGTAGCTGAGTTATTTCTAGCGGCAGTTGAGCTCCTAAACACGAGCACCACACCCGCTTGACTTTAAACTGCATAGCGCCAGTGCCACAGGCGCCAGCGCCAAAAACCCTACATCAGCAACTTTGCTGAAAACTTACTCGGGGGGTAGTTTGGTTTCCTGACCATGTATATCACATCCGCTGGGTCCGACATGGCCTTGCGCCCGTGCCACAGGCGCTGGCGCCAATGTACCGTCGACTACAAAGTCGACGAAAACTTGTATACGGAGTTGGATATTTGAGATCCTGTTTACGAACATGACATTCAATCTTGGCACCGGCGTTGTTGGGGAACACTACGATCATCTGCTCTCTGTTGAGGCTGAGTCTGGCCTGAAGAGAATCACTCCTTTCCTAAGATCGCGTTTAGACTTCGCGAAGGGATCGCTCGTGCGGTTGGACCGCGCGATCACGGTGGAAGGCGCTCCACCACCAAATGGTGCACCGCCACAACGGCACATTCAAACTGGAACGCGACACAGTTTGAATTCTGTTCTTGCGGCGGCGCATCGCTCGGCGGTGGAGCGTCTCCGGTCGTGATCGGCTCGCGCGATGCAATCGAGCGATCCGATCGCGAAGTCTGAACGCGGTCTAAGGCCCAGCTCTAGCAGAGGGCTAAACGGCGCTGGTGTACAGAAAGCAATGCCATAATCGTTATTGGGACATAGAACTATTATACACTTTTTCGTCAATTTTGGTGAAAAAAATGTGAGGCGCCAGAAAAAGACAAATGGCAACAGGGCCAAAAAATGTCATGTTCGTGACTAGGGCGCCATAACCTCAGTGTGCAAGTTCACAGCGATTTTGGTCTGAAAAGTGGTGGCGCCGAATAGCGCCAATGTCAAAAATTAATGTCATACTCGTGATTAGAACATCGAATGGCACGTATAGCCAGTTTCAGCAATTTTTTTAGATCTTTTGGTGCAGGAATAGTTGTATTCGTGACTGACCTAATTCGGCACATATATGAAGACGATGAGAAGCGAAGGCAAAAAGTACTAGGAAGATAGGTTACTGCGCCTAGGATTTCATGCTTCCAACCACACATAGCTAGTAATGATTGATGTTCAAGGGCTTGTTCAAAAATGGTGAATCATGACGCTTGGCAATCAGCGACAATTAAAACTTGCGTCTGCCATCGCTTGATTCATCACCGTCATTACGGCAATTCTCAGTTCCAGCGATCAAAGCCAATCAATACCTACGAGTATCATCCTGACTAATTCGCAAAATTCGATCTTATGTTCAGTTGTACGACTGTAGGCTAGTAACAGCGATCCAAACAGTTGACTTGTGATTAGAGGCAGACTGGGTGGCGCTAGTGTCTTGATGAGGACGATTCTCAAGTGGTGTCTGTTCCTTCTTTGTCCAGACGACTGTTGCAACGCGAGTAACCACGACAGTGGATCTAGCTTCTCTAAGTGAAAGGGAGAGATTCGAAAAAAACAGCAGAGAATGGACAAGACTAATACCCATTTGGAGAAAAGAATGGCAATCTTTAATTCGCATGCAACTACTTCAAAAACCTCATCTGCATACTACTTATTCAAAATTTCGAGCTTCTTGTGCCCATTCTCTCTTCACAAGGGTCTGGCGATCTGATCACGCCCAAAATGGCGCGAAGACCAAAATCGATGTCATCTCTAGACGGCAACAACAGACAACTTAGATCCAAAATTGTCATGATCTACGATGACAGGGTCTACTCGGAGTCCAGTGCTCCAATCGAGTCACAAGAGTTGAGAAAACGCCAGTTCCATGCCGCGCGCGGCGGAGCAAGTTACGATTCTCTTGTCTCTCCACACGTGGGTCTGCGTTCATATTTGCGTCTGCGTTTTGAGTGTTCCGCATCGTTTCGAGCGTTCTGAGCTACTATGAAAGTAGTCCGCGAAAAGTTCTAAACAGCCCACGAAACGCTCAAAGCCTAGATCTGCATCTGATATGCAAACTTTCCAAGTCGCTCAGAACGCTGCCTGCATTGTAGCTGTGCTTTTCTGTTCGTTGATGACGCTTATGGATGCCCAAAACGCTGGCAGGCGCTCATCATGCTGAATCGATAGCTATATTTACCTGGTGGCTTGAGACACTCAAAACGCTGACGCAAAGTATGAGCACAACCTGAAGCTTATCTGTTTTCGAGTCATCGGGGTCTTAATTACGAACGTGATAATCTTAAGGTTGGTGCTTTTCGGCGCCAGATTGGTGTCAGCGTTTGCATCGCTCGCGACTTTTTCCATAGACTTTGTTATGAGCTCCAACTCAGATGTAAACATTGGGACATAGTCACAAATATGATATTCATCTTTGGTCACGAATAATAAAGAGAATGTCATATTCCTGAGCAGGCGCATCTCTCCTAAATGTAAGTTCAAAATAAATCTGCTAGAGAAAGTCCCGTCCTGAAGACGGCGGTGGGATAAATATGGTGCTCACGCTGGAAACGGATATTACGTCCACAGGCAGGGCACTGGTCAACTCCTAGGCAATGCTGTAAAATGTTCAGTGTCCTCAAAAATGTCATTAAAAGGGTTATTCCTTATTTTATTGACAGTTACTTTTCAAAGCAAAAAAACCGGTTCAATCCGAAGACCGAAGAAATTACTTCAAGCTATAAAGATGTAATACTGTTGAATCTCGATGTACACATTTCTTTAAGAAATGTATATATCGAGATCCAATAATATTACATTTTATAGCTTGAATAATGAGAATACTTACAACTAACCACGAAGAAACGAGATCTGAAATCGTGTATTGTAAGCAATACATAAGTGCGCCAACTGAGAAGCAAATTTGTGCATTGTCCACAATGCACGTGGCGTTCATGTGTTGAAGAGTTAGAATAACCTTGTTCATACCTCGTGAATGGAGAATCGACGAACTCACGACTAGCGGAATGTGGAGTCGAAGCAACCACGAAAAGCAGTGTCTAAGAATCGATCTGAAAGAAATGAAGGATCGACGAACTGCTGGATCGGAAGAAGAAAGGATGCGCGATAAGGATCAGATACAATCCGATTCGCTGCGGATGATAGGGCGTGTTCGCGCAGTTGCGTCTGGCACGCCGCCAAATCCATTCTGCACCAGTTATTGAAGCGCGCAATTGACAGCAATGTTGAAAGC